GATGTCTCAATATGTACCATTCGAATTCCCACTAACTTATAACTTATATCATCCGTGTATCATCGAGAAACGATACTTTAAGCATTCCACAGAAGGCAGGAACACGGAATCGTTCTGTACTCGTGGCACATTCACACATACTAGCGACGTTTCTTCAGTTACAGTTACGTGCAGACGAATAACAACTACACGTTTGAACTTCTATCTCGCGTGCCGGTTACAATAAACCAGCCACGATAACTGCGTTCGCCTATTTCGCTAAATAACAAAACTGTCCCCTGGCAGCTGGCACGCGTCGCCTCGCTTCTCCAGCAAAGGCGGAGAAAGTTTCGCGCTTCGAGCAGTCCTATTTGCAGGCTGAATCGTGTGTATGTACCGGTGTGTTGTGTTCCTGTGTACTACGTCTACGGCGTGAGTACGTTTGTGTGCGTGTCACGGTTAACAGAATCGAGGGACGACTAATGGCGAAACGCTTCTTCCTTCCCATCGCGATGGACAGGAGGAGAGCAACACAGCATTGCGCGCGCCAGTTCGCGTCGTCGGTTACGCGACGCTGCAGCTAACGACCTGGATAACCAGCCGTGATGTTTCCAAAGTAACGTCATCATTCGCCGCGATGCGACACGAGGCGACGAGTCTGGCGACGGAGTTGCTCATTACAACTTCCGGTCCAGGAGAGCGAGCCAGAAAGAGAGCAGTCGGAGAAAGAGAGAGAGAAAAGGCGAGGAGACAGAGATCGCCAAGTATCATGGTGGGGAGAAGAGAATCAGCAATACGACGGACCGACTGGCCGAGGGAATGAAACAGAGAGCGTGAGCGCGAGGAAGATGGACAGTGGGGGAAGGGAGAGAGAGAGAGAAGGAACGAGAATCGAGCGAAAATGCTCAACAAATAGCCACATCCTCATAATAGAACGGCGTATCAAACTCATTAGACGTCGTTATTGAATCGACACGATTACGTTCCACAGAAAGATCGGATCTTCCCGTTAAAACCGAATGATCGATTCAGACGGAACATCGCGACACACACGTACACATATATGAGGCGTGACATCGAGAAATCGGTGTATATGCACACGCTAGAGTCATGCTGTGCATGCGTCGAGAGATTTAGGCGTTCGAGAATACGGGAACCCAGTCGGGTTATAGCAATGATTCATGCCAGGTATGTTAAACTGGTTCCGAGACGGGTTGCAGCCACTGGAAAAAAGAATCGAGGCCCGATCTACGAGACACAATGCAACGTTAGAGAGAAAACGGGCTCTATAGATATATGTAAGTAGATCCACAACCCTGACGGCCCTGCTGCCGGCGAAGGGTGGAGTGGATTTTGAAAGCAGGAAGCGAACAGATTTTGTATAAAGAAAGAAAATGATAATTCACGACTATTGAATCGAACTTGTTCGAGGAAAATGATCGAAAAAAACGTTATCAACGAATGTAACAATCGCATTAAAATTTCTTCGTCTCGCGTTTCATATTTTATGAGATAATTTCCTTCATGATAAAATACCCAATAAGTTTCAAGTAAACGGTACTCTGTATTTTATTATAGATATAATTTTGCTTCTAATCGATTGCTCAAGTGTTAGCTAATTTAAAAAATATCAACAACTAATTTTTCTATCGTAAAAATATCGAACTCGTACAATAAATGAAAATCGATTTAAAGGAAGTACAGTAATCGGTCGATGAATCCGTATGTTAAGTATTACTACGCAGAAGCATTGAGTACTCGCATGCGTTTCGGTCGCACGACACATCAGTGGTTCTCAAAACGACAGATTGCGGTATGGAAAGAGGATGCGAGGAAGCCTGGCCAAACGGAAGAGACGATAAGCACGTACGGAAATCTGTAGCGGGTTCTGAATTTAAAACACGAACAGTCTTGACACCGTTCTAAGTGTCCGAGTCTAATGTTATTGGACGGTCAATATTAGCGCGCCTCAACTGTGTGATGACCGACAAGCACCACACGGCTTCCTTTTACACGCCATCGTTTTCCCTCCTATCGAGGAATGCTTTAGGCATCGCTGGAACGATGCCGTTGCCAGGTACGTTATATTCAGATATAAAAAAAAAACATTATCGACCAGATATCGGGACTGAACGATTCCTCTCGCGAACTGTAACAAAATGATGTCTGTATATACGAGACGTTGAACTCGATTGAAAAATAAGACTACGCACGCTCTGTCTGACTTATCGATTCCTATATCGTAATCGATGATGGATATCGTACGATGTTAATAGAGTTATAATAAACAGAAATATACCGCGTAGAAAAAGCGAAATATAAGGAATATAAATATGGAATTTATTTTTCTTATCGACATAAAAATTTAATGAATGTACGTATAATAAGTGAAGCTAGGATCTGGCAAACATCCAATTATGAATTTACAAAAGTGTATCACCCGAAGTATATTGCGCGCGCATGTTTGTACGTGACGACAGATGCGGTGGCGGTGGCCGAGAGCGAGGTATAGATGATCGATCTACGGCACGTGCTATCAGTAGATGTGCTTCTTCCGCGTATATTTATAACAGTTTTTATATTTTATCAAATTTGCAGTTCAAAAAATTATCCACGAATAAAAAATATAATGTATTTCTATTTTTTTTTCTTCTTATCTTTTCGAATACAATATTCAAAGAATGTGAACATACAAATGGATATGATTGAGAGACGAAAAAAAAAATTATTTTAATCTTGATACTTGATAAAATGAATCTTACAAGCGATAAGCTAGAGGCATCGTATGATTGCAATCGAAGTTACGCGATTATTTATCATGTGCACGATCACAGACGTTAAGATTTAAATGGCAGGCCACGTGGCGCCGCACAGCGGCCATTCCAGGTTTTCTCAATTTCGAAACATGCCATAGAACAAACGTACGTATCGTCGTGTATTGTATTATGTTCTGATAGTATGGTTTGGATCGTTTAATAGAAGCAACTGTTTTGCTATTCAATGGAAAGATTATCTTTTCACGATGCACGTTTGTAGAAAGAATACAAACACGTTCGTTAGATATAAGTCTTTTCCACACTAAAAAGATCTCTTTACGTCTCGCGTGCTCAATGAAACGAGGATTATAAAAAACGAAAAATGTCATTTCACGTCGCTTAGAATGGCCGAAACGAAAGACGCAAGTTATTGACCATGACTTACCGCTGGATATTGAATACAAAAAGGTCGGAAGTAGGTGTGTATCGTCCGTGTCACGTACGTGTATGTTATTTTTATTGTAACCAACTGTGCTTTGACATTTGGAAGCGAGAAAAATGTTCGTAAAAACTTCCACCCTAATGTTTTGTTTGAAATTTCCTAAGTTTAACGGTCGTCGACGTTTTGTGTCCTCTAGCGTGTTAGTCTTCAATTATCGTAAACATTATTAAATTATCTAACATTACAAAATAATAATAATTATTGTTTAATTTACATTTAATAAATTATATATCCAAGTAATAAAATTGAATATAAATAATTAATGTATAAATAATTTTTTTGTAATATAAATAAAGATTAATATGAATAAAGTATTTTAAATATTTATTTGTTATCTATCATAATATACCCATCAATATATTATGATAGATATAAATTTGTAAATGCATTATCATATCCTGACAAAGTATGGCTATTTTTGATACTTTCTTGGAAACTTGAATATGAAAAAATAAGAATATGGTATGCTGAGTGCGATAGGGATAAAAGAATAAGTTCGATTTTGTCGTTCCAAAGAACGCCTTCATACTAGTGAAGGTTATGAAAATGTCATCAGTTTCGAACATTGAACAGGATGCATAAACATTTTTTTATTTATGAGACCTGATATATCGTTATAAATGTAATAAAATTTTCTTTATTATTTTATTTTTTAATGCATATTACGAGTCAAGACACAAGGTGTAAATTTATCATAAAGGTAATCAACGAACGACCACGACCTACGATAGGGTTCACTGCACGATGTTCCACGAGCTTCCAAACAAATTTGCTTTTCGAAGTTAGATTGGTTTAATTGCACCATTACTTGATACCACGTTTCTCGCGCCACGCTCACGCTCGTGCCAATGAACTGTCAGTGGTGCTATACGCGACAGATTCCGGTAACAAGGAATGCAAAATAACATACTACGTAAATTCAACTTATGTAAACGTAACGATATATTGTTATTAGAACGTATTACGATGATATTTTCAATTAATGTGTTGATATTTATCAAACCGTTTTTGGAAAATATAATTACGTTTATCACGTATAAATTATTTTTCAATATTTATAAGATTTATATCGACGAAAGATATACAAGAAATATCTTTGTTGACGCGCAGTTCGAATAATTTCAAATCCTTAGGCTAAGTTGTACACGATTTATCAAATCACGAAGTTTACTTTTCGAGTATAAAATTTATCATCTGCCGATAAATGATTATCAATTCTCGAGAATATTTCACATTTAAAACGTATCGATATTTCTATACGGGAAAGAAGGTTAGATGACCGTGAGAAGTAAATCCGCGAGTTCATAAGAAGTCGAGGTTATGTTCGCGCTTACCTTGTCGGCCGACGATCTCTGCCACGTGCTCGCTGCTAGGCACCGGCACGCACTCGGTCATATTCTGGCTCTTCTTAGAACGTGCTTCCTCGAAAACGCCTGCCGGTGTCGTTTGCAAAGGATCCGGATCGTTGGCCGTTCCGGTGCCGGTTCCTGTACCAGTGCCCGGGCATCCGGGAGTACCCTCGAGACCAAGCATAGATAATTCTAATGCCAATTGTAGGGCTCTCTGGTCTTCGAGGGAAGCGGTTCCACCGCCATTAGCTCCGCGATCCATTTCGCTGAACAAACTCGTCGGCATGTCGCTCGACTAAATATCGCGTTGTGTCGCACCGGCAACTGTGTCGCAACTGTATGTGTATGTGAATACGAATTTGCACAGATAGTAAATCACAGTATCTTTATTCACCGATTTTCACTATTTTTTCTTTGATATAATAATAGTCTTTCTTCACAGCCCGTGTCTTTTTTTTCCTTTTCCTTACGTACGTTGTTCCAGAATGACTTGTCGATAATCAAAGGTTAAACCGTATCGAACAGAGAAAGGTGTTCCTCACGATAAAGTCTAACTCGAACGATCGGAAAACAACGAAACACACGCGCGCGCGGGTGCACACCACACACACTAGATTATTTAGGACGAGAACTACAGTGCCGCTACACCAAGAGACTGAGCGGTCTACTCTTCTCGTGCGCGGTCACGGGGAAATGTATGTAGGAAAAACAACGATGCACCGTACAAAAATAAAATCGTCGCTTCGCCGGTGATCGTTTCTGTCTTCTTCCTTTTTCGTCCAGTCCTCTGTGCGCGCGTATGTACGAGGAACGCACGACGTGAGTGTTGTTCGTACACTGAAAACGTGTGGGCTACTAGTCGTCGTAATCTCGTGTCCACAATCGCACGTCCTTTTCTCGTCGATCAGTCTCTCACTCGCGCGCTTTCTTTTCACCGCGTGTACAGCCGTGCTATGAAAATGGCCTTCTCGATATTCGCACTGGTTGGAACTGTTCGTAGAGATTCGTGTTTTTAAGAACACGACTTATAACCGTCAAAGTCGTCGCGATGTTCGTATTTCTTCTTTTTTCTTTGTTCGTGTATCTGTTTCAACCGATACAATTTCGTTCGTTCGTCTTCTCTTCTGTTTCTCTCCGTTTCGTTCGTTCTCGTTCTCCCCTTCGGCGGAACGGCGTAACGTAACGTAACGTAACGGCGCGTGTATCACGTTTGGGAGCTTCGTCACCGACCGACTGACTAAAGCGTCCGAGAGCGTCGTCGCGCGACTGAAGCACTGAAAACGGAGGCAAGGGGCGCCGCGCTCTCTCTTTCGTTCCTTCTTTCTCTCTTTATCTTGCACGCTCACTTGCTTTCTCTCTCTTTCTCGCTCTCTCCCCCTCACCACGATCTTTCCTTTCGAAGGCAAGCGCGTGCAACTACCCTCTCGCTCGTGTTACCACTGCGACTGACTGCGACGTACTGCGACTGCGGGTGCTAAAGCCGGCGCGCCGCCATGTGCCGGACGCCGGCTATGCGTCTCGGTGATTGGTCATGACGGTCACGTGGCACCGTACCACCCCTCCCCACTACTACTCGTCACCGGCGCACAAAGTACGAGCGCACCTACCAGCTGAGAGCGCCACACTTCGTTCGCCTCCGGATACGGGCGCGTGCACTCGTCCCTACCGGCTTGCAACCCCCTCCGTGTTACCGCTCGTGCTCTTGCCTCTTCGCGAAGTTTCCCTATGGATCCACGTTAGAGCACCGGCTGCACCACCGATTTTCAACAACGCTGATTGCGAGCCCGGGGCTGCCTGGGATTGTAGCTCCATCTCTTCGCGATAACACGAAATGTCACGATCAGGGGATGCACTTTCATTCCGTCGATGCAATTTCAGTTAATTTAATTACTCACCGTCAATATTTCTACCTTCAGCTTTGTTGTTTGATTGCAATTTTAATTAACGATAATAAAACGTTTCTTTTACAGTTCCATTTTTTATTTAAACTATTCAGCTCGAATATTTTCATTTATTTTTCTTCCCTTCCCCTTTCCCACTTTTAATTAGAAAATACATCGATGCAATTTATAATTTAGGGAAAACTTTAACAAACACGAACGAAAAATACTGTGTGCTGGTGTGCTTCGATATAACGACTCGTTTTAAACCATTATAGTGGTAACAGTGTATTTTCCAGGAATATTCGTTATATGCATCGTACCGTTCACGGTTAACCTCGCGATGCAACACCCTTTCCTATCCGCAGTCCCGTCAACGACCTCTGTCTGCATATAGGGTGCCTAACAAACGCATTCGTCGGTACTCTTTTTCGTGGTGCGTGTAGTCACTGCAGCACATCGGCGAAAGGAAATGCAACAGGAAGGAAATTTACGACTCTCGAGAAATAATAGCAAGGTATCGTTCGAGTCGTAAACCGTAGTTGGATCGTTTGAGACTCCTATCACGCCGTAAATTAGATACGACGTCAAGAGTAGTTCAAAGGAAATCTCAGCTACTCCTAGGTACCGATATAAAAGTGAGATTCTTCTTAAAAAGTCACGATTTTATATGATTTAATTATCTACTTTTACACGATTTGTTATTCGTTCCATCAATTTTTACCCATCTTATCGATAATCATTAATCAAATCAAAACGTGTACATTAGAATTAAATATGATAAACGAATAGTCCTTATGAGATCAAGAAATGTCCATTAAAATATTTCGAGTCACGTCCGATCGAGGAAAGATGCAGAAATTCTGTTTTTATCCGTTTTAATACGATCGAATCTCGCGATATAATAAATTTATACAGTATCGCTGATGAAACGAGAAAAACAGAGTTTTTTATTGCGATCGATATTCCACGAGCACACCGCCAAACAAGTTTCTGTTGAAATGTCTTAGCACAACGTTCGTGCACAGTGCACTGCGCTATAGTCTGCGCTAAAGCATTACACCGTGGAATGGTTAACTTTCCGTAATCGAGGTATCAAGAATATCTACACTCTGAATCGGTTAAGCTAGGTTAAGTTCCGCCGATCTATCGTCCTTGAACTCCAACGCCAATGATCCCACAGACTATGCAGGAATTCGTTTCTAATGTGGGGTTCGCAGATCAACGCTACAATTTTCAAGATTGCAATTTGTAATTGTAATTGAAGCGTAAAAAAGAGAGAAAGAAGAAATAAATCGCAAAAAAAAAAAAAAATAAGAAAAAGAGATCATTAATTACTCGTAAAAAAAAAATTTAATTAAAATTCTTCTCTCTCTCTCGAAGTTAAAAAAAAAAAAGAAAAAAAAAGTAATTATTAAGCGCGATGAAGTGCACACCCCAATAAAAGAACAACCGTTTCTTAAAGATGCGCCGCGATAAATTTTCAAGAGGAACCAGTTCGCCACGTAATATAAAAACGGACGATGTAAGAAGCTGTCCACCTCCTTTCTATTAATTGTCAAAAGTCAGCCCGATACGAGGTGGACGAATAATATCGTTTCACCGATATCTTCAATCTCTTAATTCGCAAATCACGCAGTTGCCACCTGCAAGATCCTATGTATATATTTGCTAACGACGAAACGGGGGATTCGATCTAAACTGATTTCTAAATGCACCCGTTTGGACCTTGAACCGAGGTGCAACCGTGTTCCATTGTTCTCTGCCGACGACCCTTCGTCCTCTCCCCAGACCGGCCGATTGCTCGATTTTTAGTCGGGACTGCACACACGATCGGGACCATGTCCTGCGTCTCGTCGAGGACAGACGACGATGCGCACCAGAATAATTCCACAATATTGAAAACTTTCATTAGGTTGAATTTTTTTTATTGATTTAACGTTTATCTTACTATTAATTTTGATATTGATATTCGATTTTATTCGGGATATAAAAAATAAAATGTTAATAATATTTATATTTTAGAAGAATTTCAAATAAAAATTTAATTTCGTTTCTATATTTGCGTATATTACAGTACAAAGTAATAAAAGAAAAGATCAAAAATTGATATATCTATTCTTTAAATTCTTTTGCTTCGTTGAAATTATAATAAATAATAGTTTTAAATGATATTACCTACACGATGTTAAGAAAGGATTATAACGTAACGTACGAGAAAGTTGCCTGCATTTTATTAGCATGCCTTGTGTATGTAACTCTTTTATTATTACTATAAAGTAGCAAGTTACAAGATTGTAAATTAAATAAAAGTACAAAAAGTGTGGATTCGCATAATCACGAATGCACAAATATTGCACAGAAAATAAAAAAAAATATTATTTCTTTTACTAAAAGTCAACGTGATTCAACAATAATGCCCAATAAAACGCAGATTAAACGACGACAAGTGTCAGCAAAATCTTTGGACAATGAACCTTCTCTTTTTTATACTTTCCTTTTCTATTTGCTCAAAGCAAAAAAAA